GATGGCTTTAACGCCACGAAATCGCGCAGTCCTGGTATTGCTACATGCATTTATTGATTCTATTTCAGAATATCTGTCGTGAACAATGACGCGAACGGCAGCAGTATTAAATTTTAACTTTTTTCTATATTTGATTATCTTTTTGTGGTTTTACAAAGAACTTCATAGTCTTGACAGCAAATAATATTGATGAGATTAACACAGGATTAATCGGATGAGAGGCCCATAGTTAAAACGGGAACCGATAATGGATTCCATTTGTGTGGAGATGTTTGTTCCTCGTACGAGACATAATGTTTAGTTTCTAAAAATTATTAATTAAATTTGATATCTTATATGATGCTGGGTAAATATTTCTGAACATAAATGACGGGAAAATAAACTTATGTTATAAGTTATCTTTTAAAATGTAGTGGGGGAAGTGAAAGGTCCACTTGGTTTTGGATACTGTTCGATTGTACAACCAACATAATTACACTGCATGGCGCCAGGTTGGAATGGTTAATGTGTTTAGATAGGCTAAGTGTACGTCCTGTGTGTGGTTAATGCAACGAGGTTGTAAATATCACGGTCATCGATCTCAGTAAATGTAACATTACACTTACCGTCTTAATACAATTAAGTATGGCTCATTAAAAGCACCCGCGCCCCATGCAGATCGTTATACAAAGGAAATAGTTAATGCACAAATCAGATTTCTTTATGTGTAAGATATTTGGAGAAAGAAATAATGTTCCACCACCACCTCTTCTGTAGATAACTCTCTCGCATCTTCATATGTGGTACACGACCCTTTTTTACAACCTCATCTTAGCTCCCTTCCACAACTTCATCTTAAGGAAACCGCTCGCTTTCACAACCACATCTTCGGTTCGCAATTTTATATATATGGCGCGATATATATATAACACGTGAACACAGGAGAATAGTCAGTCTTGATTATCCGCCGAAATAGCTTCCATTTGGTTACATTCCAAAATAGCTGTGAAAATAATATGAATGGACTTCTGAAAATCAGTGATGACACCAGGTGTTCGCTAAAAGGCTAATCATGTCCCGCCCTACCGGTAGTACCCGCCATGTACACAATTTGCATTAAATAGTAAGTCCATGTATTTTATTGCCTGACGCTGCACTGCAGAACTCCTGTCATGCGACGTCCATTTGGTGTAAAGGGCAAAATATATGTGAAAATTATATGAATGGACCACTGCAAATCAATGACACCAGGTGTTCGCGAAATGTGTAATCATGTCCTGCCCTACCGGTAGCACCCGCCATTCACACAATTTGCATAAAGTAGTAAGTTTTTTATTGCCTGACGCTGTACAGCAGTACTCTTGTCATGCGACGGCGGTCTGTACACAAATGAGACAAATGAAGTGACCGATGGACCAGAACAGTCAGTGACACAACAGCGCATTTACTATTTTTGTTGTAACCAATAAAAACCAAATATTGATTTTGAATTACGTCTCTTCAGGAGACATTTTCAACCTCAACGTAAGGAAACTTTTATATAGTTTACAACCTCATCTTCGGGAAACTGCATGCTCTCTTTCACAACATCATCTTCCAGAAACTGCTCTCTTTTACAACCTCATCTCCAGGAAACGGTTCTCATTTACTTCCTTAGTTCAGGTCACAACCTCATCGTCACAGATGATTATCTTTTACCTCATCTTCAGGTAACAGCTCTCTTTCACAACCTCATCTTCCAGAAACTGCTCACTTTCACAACCTCGTCTTCAGGAAACGGTTCTCATTTATTTCCTTAGTTCAGGTCACAACCTATCTTTCACCTCATCTTCGGGCAACGGTTCTCTTTCACAACCTCACCTTCAAGAGATGACGTTCTTTCACCTGAACTTCAGACAACGACTCTTTTACCTCATCTTCTGGTAACAGCTATCTTTGACAACCTCATTTTTAAGAGATGATTTTCTTTCACGTCATCTTAAGGAAACAGCTCTCTTTTTCACAATCACATCTTCAGTAAACGGTTCACTTTCACAATCTCATGTTCAGGAAACGGCTATTTCACCTCTTCTTCAAGAAACAAATCTCACCCCACCTTCAAGAGTTGACGTTCTTGTACCTCATCTTCATGCAACGTAGCTTGTATCTCATCTTCAGACAACAGCTATATTTGACAACCCCGAAAGGATGTCTCTCTTTCACCTCATCATCAAGAAACTGCTTTCTTTCACCCCATCTTTAGGAAACGAATCTTTTCACCTCGTCATAAGTCATTTCGCATAATATCAGAAAATGTATACCTTCTAACGCATGAGTATGTCAGTTGTTTAGTCTACCATGTCCCTAAAGAACGGGGCAGAGAAACGTGTTCAGTGAAATACCTGAGTACGCTCATTTTTCATCTCAGCATAATTTCAGAGGCACGTGTATTGATAAAACTAGCCCATTAATAGCCCACGTTGCATGAAAAAAACGTTTTGAGCGAAACTTTAGCATTAAACTACATTTTATTTTTAGATGTTCATGTGAAGCGACATACCTTGCTTTGGTGCTGAACATTTTTGTTCCGATGAAAACGCTGTAGCATAAAAATGTTTGCGTCAGTGAATGCACTGCTAATATCTGATTAGAATTAACAATGAACGTATAAATGAAGGGTATAAGGAAATATAAGTAAGATAACAATGAATCGATAGCTGTAGTACATTCTGAATGTATATTTAGTGACAGTGATGATTATTCAGATAACTGCCGAGGTTTTTTTTAGATTCTTTCCGCAACTGGATTCATTTATTGGTAGTCGAGGGGGAACTGCTCGCAAGGCCGTAGTTAACTTTTTTTGACAGGGGGGGCAAATAAGATTATTCATTTCTTATTCAAGTTAACTTTCACAAGGAAAAATGTTTTCTATAAAAATTCCAGGGGGGCAACTGCCCACCCTGCCCTCCCCCCCGGCTGGCTACGGCACTGGCTCTAACTTATGTTTATCCAGAGTAATGGTTTCAGCACGCTATGACATATAGCCTTGCAACGTTAGAGCTGACCCAAATAAATCGAGCTACGGCTGCTTTGCGAAACGGGCAAAACTTCGGACTAAGGTAACCTTTATTTTAAACTTAGGTTAACATTGGCTGAGGTTGTTTTGTATGACGGGGTTTTTGTCTGTCAACAAATAGCTCATGTGCACAATCATTCCAATAGCTCAAATAATATACCAACAAAACAATCCTTAATGGCGCGCGGCAGCCTCATCAGTAGCACGCACCGGGGACACTTTTCAACATAGTATTTTTCATACTTTGGTTAATGCAAATGGAATTTACTTGTATTTTAAAACAAGGACTTGTGTTTGGGGCAAGTCCTCAAGCCCACTGTTAATTTAGCGAGACGGTTGAAAATGGAGGTTGAACCTTTACCAATGGCGCACTCCCCATCCCAAATTGGCAGAAGGTATCTGGTACACTGCAGTCTAACCTGAATTGGAGTCACTGCGGAGCATTTGTGGTCATAAAAAGGCCACTAAATAGGATGAGGTGGTCAGGCTCTGTGGTTCTGTGGTTGATGATGTCATCACGCCCCATGTCGTAACTCGGTTACGGTGTTTTCAGTCACTAGTTCTCGACTACGACGTGGTGGCTTGAATATTGCTGACAGTTGTGCCAACAGCATTCACTCACACTCTAGAAACCAGGGATAATCTAGCTACATACACTCATAAGGGGGATCCGGCTACAGATAAACACATGACAAGTTGTACAAGACACAGTCAAATGGATTATCTTCAGACAGTGTAACGACAGACTCACTCAATCACTTTGACCTCATTCAACTTGATTCAACAGATTGGGTAAGTGTGATTTGGTTTTATACCCACATTTATCCGTATTCCAGACATATCTCAGGTGGGAGCACCAAAAATGATTTCAACAATTGTATCCATCTTGAAAATAGAACCGCGTGCTTCATTCTGACAAGACAACCCTTCATCCACCAGGCCACCCCAATGCCCCTTCCGCAAAAATTTCACACCAATCAAAGTGAGTGAGTTTGGTCTATCAGCACTTTTTACAGTTTTCCAGTGATATCATGGCATGTCAACTTAGAGCGGGAGGAATGCCCCGTGATGCAGGTACCACTTTTGGGAATCCCATGAGCATTGTATGGTGCTAACGGACCTAGAAACAAAATCAGGGCTAACCAGGATTCGAGCCAACAATTACATGTTTCTGGCATACCAAGGAGACGCAACTCTGCACAGCAAATTGTGCAGAGGCCAACGACTGGGCCATCCAGGCCCCCACACCAATCAAAGACATACATACATGTATCTATGTACATCTATGCACCAACACCAATAAAGTTCATATGGTCTTTCGTCTGTCTTCCTGAGGGGATTCTGGTTTAGAAGAGGTCCCCATCCACCAGTGCGCTTCATAAGAGGCGACCATAATGGATCGGGTGGTCTGGCTCAGTGACTTTGTTCACTGTGTATCAACATACTCCAACAGCATGGGTCATTGCTCATAATATCAGTCACTGGATTCTCTTGTCCTGGGTTGATTAGTTAAAGGTAGCCATATACGTGGAATATTCCAAAGGACTAGATTTTTTACTTTCCTTTGACGTGTGGGATAATGATATACAAAGATAAAACAATCAAATATTTTTATGTGTGTGTGTGCATGTGTGCTCTAGTCATGACTTATGTCGATATATAATGCTAGCTCACTGACATACCATGCCGAAGTTTAACATGACTACCCCACTTAGACACAGTATACTGACCCCGAGCCGACCAGTCCTTGTTTTAGCTCCTTAATGACGAGCACCATACAGGGTTACAACAAGTACCATCTTTTAACGTCTTTTGGTATGACACGGCTGGGGATCGAACCAAATCACACTTACTCAATGTGTTGAATCAAGTTGAATGAGGTCAAAGTGATTGAGACCTTCCGCACTCCAGGTGCACACACTTCCACTGGACCACTGTGGCGGTCTGTTGTCTTATAAAACTCAAACACATTTACAACTTTTATAACAAAACCAATAAATATTTACAAAACCTCCCCTCACAAGCTAGGTTCCTATATACCTGCTGCAATTTGTTTATTTATTTTGTCCATCATGATCTGGTCCAGCATGCTTCGTCTCTGATGCACAATGAGGTAGGACACAATCCCAATAACCAGGCACACTCCCTCAAATATCCAAAACTGCCTTTGTTCTGCATCTGGTGTTATACCACATCTGAAGAGAGAAAGTAATATTATTCGGGGTAGAGTCATTTTGTTTCACAGCAATAATCAAGCTTTATCACACGGTCCTATATATATTACAGACATTTATGTAAGTGAGGTGAGGTGAAATGGGGTTTAATGGTGGTTCAAGATAATTGCACTCATATAGTGACGTGCATGCACCTGTGTGTGTGTGTGTGTGTGTGTGTGTGTGTGTGTGTGTGTGTGTGTGTGTGTGTGCGTGTGCGTATGTGTGTGCGTGTGTGTACTTGTAACAGACTGGACAAATGTTGGTTTTACAGTTCTATCCCACTGAGAAACCCTGCCACAGTTTAACATGTATACACCACTCAGACAGTATACTGACTCCAAGCCAGCCAGTCGTTGTTTAATCCCCTCAATGCCAAGCACCAAGCAGGGTAACAACAAGTACAATCTTTTAACGTCTTTTGGTATGATGCAGCCAGGGATCGAACCAGCGACCTTCCACTCTCCGACCAAAGTGGTCATGATATATCTAGACCAATTTTCTACCCCAAGTCTATAGCAAGTGTCAGTAAACATTCCCAAATGGGAATTAATCATTTCCAAATTCATGTTATAATAGTTATTACAAATGTTTTGGCTTCAAGGGGTGACTTGTATTTCACTGATAACAGAAACAAACAAGAGGAGAGGCTTTAATGCTTAGTTTTATACTATTGCACTGAACCTGTTGAATACAATGTTTAAACCTCTTATTTAAAATAAGAATACAAAACTTTTTAAAAAAGCCAAGAAGACTTAGTTTGGAATGCCTAGACAAATGCCTGTATTAATGAAAACTCAAGTCTGGACCAAGCAAAGCACTGGTTAATGTTCTGAGCATTGTCCCTCGCTATATCAACCCACCATCAAAGCCAGAGTCTGACCACTCAATGAATTTTTGTCATGTATTACAACAAAGACAGTTTAATGGAGGCCAATTCTGTCCTGGAATCCACACAGGGGTCGTGCCATACACTATAATGACTTTGGGTCAACATGTGACATGTTGCAACCACAATTTAAGCCTGGTGTTATGTACATGTATTAAAAGTTATAACACACTGAATCTGTTGTCTGATCTGAATTTGTTGTTTGTATGGTTTGGATTGTTGTTGTTTAACGCCACACTCGGCAATATTCCAGCTATATGACGGCGGTCTGTTAATAATCGAGTCCGGACCTGACAATCCAGTGATTGACATCAAGAGCATCGACCCATGCAATTGGGATCGATGACATGCATCAACCAAGTCAGCCAACCTGACCACCCGATCCCGTTAGTCGCCTTTTACGACAAGCATAGTCGCCTTTTACGGCAAGCATGGGTTGCTGAAAACCTATTCTACCCGGATCTTCAAGAGTCGAATCTGTGGAGATTCTGGGTAGGACCTTTCTTCAGCAAACTATATCAATCATAAGAGGCAACTAAGTGGATTGGGTGGTCACAATATCAATCACCAGATATCTGGTTGGGAATCGGTTATTTACAGGCGTATCATCATGTAGTTTGAATACTGCTGAGTGCTGCATTAACAAAAAACAAACTGTTGTGTGAATAAACTGGCGACTGGAGAACTCACCCTGTGTACATTATTTTCGTGTTTTCACACTGTATGAGCAACTTGTATCCTTTTTCTAGACAGTAGTGTACTTCTCGTCTCTAGAAAATGAAAAGAATAAATCATTTGTAAAGAAGTAGAAATAGTGTCACGGAACTGTAGCTCACCTGGATATGTGGTCAACTGTTTAGCTCATCTTCCTGAGGCAAGCGTGTCCACTAGCCTAGATCAAAGTCTAGTTTCCACCCTTGCCATTTCAAGCCTTCTTGTCTGTGTTAAAATGAGAGGACGATCGCAAATATTGAAAGTCCAATCAGAGTTTGTTTTACCAAATCAACATTCGGGTTCTAAAATGTGGTCGCTGCTATGGCCACAGCAATTCAAATTTGAACTGAAATGTATTGCAAAAATTAAGCAAAGACATATATTTTCAGAGTGGTGCAAAATTTTCAATCAACTCACCCAAGCACTTTAATATATTTATTTGAGTGCAAACTCAAATGCCAGAACGCTTACCACTGAGACCGAGATGCAGTGACGACCCCTGCTGACCATTTCATGTTACCACAATGTGCAGTGTTACTTGATACTGTGAAGTCTGTATACCTCTAATATCATAAGAGTAAAATGTGGCAGTGAGAAGTATCTCCACTGTGGTAATGTGTCATTTTGGTTGTCTGTCTGGGATGAAATCTCAAATCTTTTTGATATCTGATCCATAGGTCATCTGCTATGGTAGTCATCTTTGTGAAACCATTTAAAAAAGGAACAACTGTCTGACTGGACATTGCGTTTTAATCACAAAGGACACAACTGGTTCTACACAGGTTGACACCACAATCAAGCCAAGAAACGTAGCCTTGAAATGGTGAGGGTGGAAACACGGCTTTGATATAGATGTTATGTTTGTTGTTTAATGCCACACTCAGCAATATTCCAGCTATATGACAGTGGTCTGTGAATAATCAGGTTTGGACCAGACAATCCAGTGATTGACACCATGAGCTTCAATCTACTCAATTTGGATACGATGACATGCATCAACCAAGTCAGCGAGCCAAACCACCTGATCCTGTTAGTCGGCTCTTACGACAAGCATCGGTTGCTGAAGACCAGCAACCTATGCTTGTCGTAAGAGGCGACTAGCAGGATCAGGTGGTCAGGCTCGCTGCCTTGGATGAGGCGTGTCAGGGATGAAATATTATCAACACGACGAGTGTCATTTTTCAAATTCTCATCCGTCTTAGACCAGCACATGACTGTGTATGTCCACTGAAGATAGGTAAACAATAGAAAACAACATGAAACGTTTCCCTACAACGCTAGTGAGGATTTGATATGGCTAGTAGACACTCTTGACCTTGGAAGACGATCGTAGTGTCAATGACTTTGTTTGGTGCAGAATATTATCAGGCAGCCAACAGATATCTGGGGTATTGCTGAGTTAGGCATTAAAAAACCAACAAACATACATATCATCTCCATGATTTTTAAAGATGGAGAAAAGATAAAAAGCAATGAAAAAGCTGCAGATCTGGTATGTCTATTCAGTTTCCATACCTTAGTTTGAAATATACTTACAAGTTCATCTCTTGTACAACTTTTGCATACATCAAGTGCTGTGTATTTCCCAGATTTACATGTCTCATTTGCATTTGCTGTGAACAAAATAGGGAATGATATTAAATCAAAAAGAATATTTCCAGTCCTTGCTAGAAAAATACATGGCTATTGCTTCTTGGAGTACTATAGTATTAACAGTGAGATAAAAGCAAGATGGAATGACAAACATGATAAAAGATAAAAATGGCTCTAATTTGCACTATTTCCATGTTGCATAATTTTGCTCTAAAGATTATCTCAGACTCATAAACATGTCAAAGTATATGATGTTTATTTGTAAGTTCAAGGAATGTCCCTCCTCACTTAGCATGCTTAGTCATGGATAACTGGTCACATTTACTTTAGGCTGGCAGTCAAGATTTAAATTACTTTCTAAGTTCCATGATTATCATATACGGTAACTCATTAACTGATAAAACAATGAGACACATTCAAATTGTCCATGTCATCATTTGATTAAATCTCCCTTGGTAATAATCAGCTGATAATGATTGACTATGCATCTTCAAGTATCTAATTCATTATATTCAATAAGATACTTGGTATTTTCATGAGTGATTTTCATCTCTTATTTATGTTGTTTATGTCACAGTCCATGAAATGAATAGCAACAAGAGGACGTTTTAGGGCATGGACAAGGTGCAATATAAACTCACATCATCATCATCATCATCATCATCATCACCATATTATTATTATTATCACTACTATCTCAAAGTAAATTTTACTAACCCATTGCTTGGAATCGTGCGTCATTCAATTTTCGTTGGTAGGACCATCTACTTTCCAGGATGAGTGTTACAATAGACAGACTGTAAAGCACAAAATTAGTTGTGTAGTAGGACAAACAGGTCTACAATATCAAGGGATGTAGCAGACAATAAACCCTACATCCTATAAGTATTAACTAGAAAACAGACACAAAACAAATACAGAGTGCATCCACTGGGACAATTTACATACATGTTTATAAATGAATGCTGCTATTTCATACGGGTAATTTGACACCACTGAAAAATAACTTCTGTATTATTTTTACGTAATCACTTAAAATCTACAATACACAGTTGAACGCTTCACAATCTTCTATTGCTGGTACTTCTTTGGAATCTACCAGTTGAAGGCTTTGAATCCCCTGGACCCCTAAATAAACATCTTATTTTGGGAGTCGTGCACTTTATCACACTGATTTTTTTCAGATTTCATTTAGCACTCACATTGCTAGCTTAAAGCTTAGCTTGGCTATTAAGTGATTCTAATAACCAAACACTTTCCCACAGAACCTATCAGAAATAATTAGTGTTCATTTCCCAAGTCATCAGCGCCCAATTGTTTACCTTTATATACTTGCCATTTTCTCAAAACTTGAAACTTGATAAAAATTGTGTTTTTTTCCTCAAATTATAATGGATTAATTTGTTAAAAGAAGAAGCTAACCCATACCCTACCTCACTACTAATGCTAAGGATCGTAAAGGAGTGTTTGATTGATGAGTGGTGCCCAACCCTAAGGATCGTGAAGGGGTGTTTGACCAGAAAGGGGTACCTATCCCTTATGATCGTAAAGGGGTTCTTGATTGGAAAGGGGATGATCGGAGATCCAAGGGCTAAGGATAGAGTTGGGGGGTAACCTACCCTAACCCTAACATAACTAAACCTGGGGAATGAGGAGTCTGTGAAGCAAGAGTGGTAGCCTGAGTCAATTAGCTCAAGCTGCACCCGGTAAACTGCATTGATGCCATTATTTAAGTGTGCAATGGTGAAGCAAACGATAATTTTCACATTCACGTCACCATATTTTGGGATGTGATAGGGAATCATTGAATAAATTTGAAGATTGGATATTTAGCTTGATAAGTTCTTTCAGTTTGTAGTCGGTGCACATATATAAACTATTATTTGATCAAATGCATTGATGAAGTGGGAGTAGTGCACTTTACCGAGCGCACTTTTTCAGATCCATTTAGCGCTGCAGGGGCTCGAACGCGCTTCGCCGGCTCACCAGCTTGGCTAATTAATGCGTTAATTAGCCGACGCTCTACCACTGGACCGCAAGCGCTATCACATGTAATCAGTGCTCATTAGCACCACATTCAGAAAACAATGAATTGCGCATGCGTGTGACTTCACAATCTTTTCTTGAAATCACACCCATCACTGTTTATGTCAACATGACCGACCAATCAGATTAACTGGATTAACGCTTGAAAAGGTAAGAAATTATGGCAAACCCTTGCCCAAAGCAAGCTAACCCTAAGGGCTGAAAACGGGTGTTGGATCGTAAAGACGTGTAAGTTTCCCTAAGACCGAAAACGGGTGTTGGATCGTAAAGACGTGTTAGTTTCCCTAAGACCGAAAACGGGTGTTGGATCGTGAAGCGAGAGTCACCAGAGCGTGAGGCACGGTAACGGTATATCGAGACAGCGGTAGCTCTCTAGCGCGGTAACAGACTGGATGGTAGAGCTCGGGCTGCACCCGGTAAACTGCATTGTTGCCGATGAAGTTATCGAGCAGATCACTCTATTAACCATGTTTACAAACATAAAGATTTAGATTTGATATTGGACACATGTAACACAAGCGAACTCACCATATTAGTGCAATAACTGCAAAAACCATTCGTTTCTTTGTACACAATTCTATCATGCTTAGTAGTTTACTCCGCCGTCGATATTTCATAAACAGACTTCAAGAAAATATCTAGAAATACCGAACAATACTGATCATCTTGAGCACCGGAGTCACTTATGCATGAAATATGATCAACTCGACGAGTGTCATTTTTCGAATTCTCATCTGCCTTAGACAAGCACAAGACTGTGTATGTCCACTGAAGATAGGTATACAATATATAATAACATGAAACGTTTCTCTACAACGCTACTGTTAAGAATGTTTTATGTTTACACATTCCTGAAGACACTATGCCAAGTTGTAATGTTTGGAACGGAAGCGGAAGTCAGTGTCTGCACATGCTATTTTCCTAAAAACAAATGTTAGTAGAAGTTATTGTTTAGACCGTCAGGTGGATTGACATGTCCGCAATACAACCTTTTATGACTCTCGTGGTAAAATTATACCCGTTGGCCGTAAATTTCAGTTCGTATGTTGGTTAATTGCAATTTTTCATACTTATTTGCTTAACCAACTCATTATACTACATAGTATGATAGGAATCCAAACTTCTGATCATAATCACGAAATTTTACAATCAAACACACCTTTCTGTGAGTTTTATATATATAGTTATATATATAGAGAGAGAGCGGGGAGGTTTACTGTTCACAAAATCTAAAATTCCATCTGTTGTACGGGTATTTGCAAAGTTAATAAAACGCTGAAAGAATAGATGATACATATTTGGAAACAAATAATGTTCTGTCAGCTGCCTTGATACCAAACTAGTAAAAATGTTTTGACGTAAAACAACATGTCCCCGCTCAACCTGTGATCGAGTAACATTAGTAGTGGCAAGGTGGACATTGTTCCAAACGTAGACCTACCTGCGGGTCATCTGGAACAGAAACGACCCCATTAAATGTTTGTTGAGCAGATAGAAATGAAGATCGGATGTTTAAATGTGTGATACGACCTGCGGCCGTATTTGATGGCATATGTAATATGATGTTAATAGGCCTACAAAGAAAACTTAACAAATGGGAATTAGAAGTTAACCTAGAGAAGCCATGTATTGTTGGTTTTAGAAATGAGAGATACCTAAGAAATACAGAAAAATGGACTTATGATGGTAAACATATGAAACGTATCCCACTATAAATATCTAGGTATTGTCTTAACATTTGGTCAAAAACGTGTGGAACATTATCATAACAAGCTAGAAAAGCGTCGTTTCCTATTCTCACATTATTGAGGGATCATCCAAATATTTCTCTAAAGGTAACGGAAATATGAGGTTACACCTCTCGTGCAAATATTGAACAGATTCAGAGTTTTTACTTTAAATCATATTTATGTGTTTATAAAAAAGATATATCCCAAACAGAGACCATATGGTCTCTGATCCCAAAGTATTGTATTGTCTTAATCATTACACACCAATAATATGTAAATCGCTCTGAATGACTGCAGATGAGTTTATGGTATGATGCTAAGTCAATACTTAACCGGAATGTGCCATTTCGACTGGTGCCCTTATCAAACTCGGTATTACTCTTACAAATCAAAGCCAACAGATCAAAAGGTAGTTTTTAGGAAAATACAACACGTGAAACGGAAGCGGCGAAAGGTATTGTGGGGTTTCAGCCATTTCAGAGCAGAAGGACAAGGAGGTCATACTCACACAGACCAAACATGTTCCGTGCCGTACAGCGAGCGAGTCGATCATTGCACTGTGTTGCTGTCCAGACTCTGAGGAGGCCAGCAATCGGTATGAAATTCGTACGGTGTAATTTGTTTCACCATTTGGCTCTCAAAATTTACTTTGATCCGTGTACGTGACAGAAATTGTCAGAAAAGCATGTTCAATTTTGACTGATAGCGCTCATTTTCCAAACACGTTTTCGGCGTCGTTTCAGGTACGACGATTGACAGGGAACAATGTGTACAACATTTCCATGCTTCAATAAAATCACCTTCTTGATACTGTTGATAAACACGTCTTTCCACAAACTAACAGTTTCTATATCCTGAGCTTTCTAGAGTTACTCCCCTTGTCCTTGCCCTCTTTGGTTCCTAACCTTTGTAATCATCATCACCAGGTGTCGAGAACATTTTTCGTGATGCTACTATACTTTAATGCCCATATGCAATTAGTGGGTATAAAATATATTGTTTTGATTCCATCAGAATTCATAATCACTGGAGTCAATATAATCATCAAGGTCATTAATTCAGACTGAACATATTTTGAAAGAAAGTTTTTAGGCAGAGTTGATCATATCAAGTGTTGATGATCAGTTATTGTATGGTATCACTACTCCACTACAGATATACTTGATCCCTGTTTATCATGTATATACTTGTCATGCTAAGCAGTAAGCTAATTGTCACTCAAATGATCATGATTATGAACAAGCTTGTCGGTGGATTGGCATAGCAATGTACCACAGGGCATAGCAATGTACCACAGGGCCAGTGGGACTTCAGCAGGGTTTTACCTTGACTTGGGGGACCCCCAATAATTAATTTTGATGGTCCTTGCGGACAATATAAGAGCCCTGTAAAGTAATGAAATGGTGTAGTGAACGTTTTGATAATAGAGCCTGGAATGAAACAATGTTCATGTGGACAGTGGTCATGGTTGATGGATGAAATTACAGAAGCCCGTAACTGTCCTTGATTTGCTTTAGGTACAATGAATATTATTGTGCCCTCCCAGCGGAAGAAACTAACATTTTTAGCCCACTAGTCCTTACAATGATAACATATAGCAAAACCCTTTGAAATGGCTAATTTTTTCTAGTCCTTATGACACCTTAACTATTGGGCAGTTGGCAAGGACTACAGGACTAGTGCCAATTTCTAATGCTGCCTCAGTTCAGGCATCTTCCCGACACATGCCCGAGGCAAGAGAGTAAACTGACTATACAAGTCCAGTTTCCACCCTTGCCAAACTAGGTTGGTATTATTATGATTATGGAGTTAAATTTGGCTGGACTAACGAGTCTATGCATAGTCCAATCAAAATCGGGCTACCGAAATCAAAATCCGGTTCGTAAACTGTCATGCAGATTTCGGTTGATTGCAGGATTTGCAAAGCATGTGCACCGCCAACTCATTGTCAGCAGATATTTTCCATATCTTTTCATGTTTTTAATCAAGGTGCTCACTTGATTTGATTGATTTAGCGATGTATGACCCGTTTTATCACGATATACAACTTGATTATCGATGAGATCGTCCTGATTGGGCACCACCATTTTGTGTGAAGCAAACGCAAGTGATACGAGAGGTGGAATCTGATTAGTCCATAGGAGAGGTTTAGAAGGGACATAACTGGTAATAGCCACTGGTGGCGCTACGATCGAGCCCAGGAATTCCAGCCTAGTTCAGCAAGGGTGGAAACTGGACTTTAAAAGTCAGTTAATTCTCTTGCCTCGGGAAGATGCCCTTCGGGACGCAGTATATTTTTGGGGGGTTATAGCTAAAACGGCACCTGGCGAAAAAGGCTACTATTGCCTGGCGAAAACTGCACCCTATTCTTTTTTCACCTTGCATTGTTAGAAACTAACAGTTTTCGTCATCTAGTCCTTATAATGATAACATATAACAAAACCCTTAAAAGGGGCAAATTTCTACTAGTCCTTATGATACCTTTACCATTGGGCAGTTTGGCAAGGACTATAGGACTAGTTCCAATTTCTAACGCTGCCTTGGTAAAATAAATGAAATTAAACTTACCTGGTCGCTTGCAAACACCAATAATTGTGAAATGTTAAAACAAGTTTACATTAAAAATTAGCCTCTACTCCAACTATATTTCAACTTAGCCTACATGCAACTCAACTTATTGTGAAAACATAACATGCCTTGAAGTAAAATAAATGAAATTAAACATTGTCTCTTACAAACACTAATAATAGTGAAATGTTATAACAAGTTTACATTAGAAGTTAGCCCCCTACTCCAATTTACTCACCGACTCTGATTGGGAGGCGCAACAAACGTATTGTGAAAACATTATTTGTTTTGAAGTAAAATAAATGAAATTAAACTCACATCGTCTTTTACAAACACCAATAATTGTGAAAAGTTAAGACAAGTTTACATTAGAAATTAGCCCCGGTGGTACATGGGCCGATATTTTAAACTGTGATGAAGATGAAAACTGTGAAGAACTGAGTATGCTCAACTGATGAGATTGGATGAGAGTTTTATGTGACACACAAATGTGAGTCCAGTAACTGGACTCACATTTGTGTGTCACGTAAAACTCTGCTTCAGACAAGGTTTGACTACTGACTAGGTCTCCAGTACTCTGTAGCACCCAGTGGTGTCATACATATGATATGCACAACTATGGATAATACAAAATTACTGAATGAAGCGATTCATTGACCACAGCTTATCATGACTTAGTCACTATTGTGTGATGAACTTGACATTGTTTCAGTTCAAAGAGAGGATCGCCATTGGTTTAGAAATATATTTAACCAAGGGTTCCAAGTTTGATCTATTCCTTTGTCATGCATGTCACTGATAAATGTATATCATAACTTAGCTTCAGTTGGTGTGCGCCACTCACATGGAGTACAGGAGAGTGATGAGGAGTTTGATGCACGGTATGAAGCTTACTTCAGCAGACCAGATATTGATGGCTGGGAAGTTCGCAAGGCCATGAATGATTTACAGGTATATATAAATAATTCTCCAAGTTCCTACACAATTGGATACATATAATTATTGCTGATATTACTGACTGCGGCATTAAACAAGAAGCAAGCAAACCACTGATGTCCCGCACTGATAGGTTGCTATGTATGTGTGCTGGACAATTCTTTGAAATGTTCCCATCAATGACATGATCATGATGGTTATGCCCAGATAAAATGCCTGGGTACTCTGTCCCCCTTATGCTTACTAAATAATTAGAAATATTTGCAATAGAATCATCTAATCGCTTATGTACATAACACAAACATGTTAGGAAGCAGCTAGCTTTGAACTCACAAATCACTCGGTCAGTGGAACATGGACAGTGATTTGATTATCATAATTATCAAGATATAAATCACATCATAACCAATATCGAGAGATAGGTAAGACCATCATTTTCACTTTTCAGTATAAAGTTAGGAAAACAGCACTATTATTCTTTGAACATACAGATTGATGGTAGTGTTTAGGAAATGTATCTTGAAATTTGTTCCTTGATCATGTTGATTACAACCTGTGTATTTGGTATTTGTATTAGCGTTAGAGAATAGACATGCATTTGTATGGCATTAGCCATGTGGGATGTCGTTTTGCAACATGTCATGACAATCCATGCCAGTACCACGATGACATTC